TCCGGGTCCAGGAATCCGAACTATGCGCCTATGCGTTCACACCTGCTTTCTGATCCCATTAGTATAGACTGAGGGATTATTTCAGAAATTAATTCAGAAAAATGAGATGAAAGTATCTAGCGATTAAGTATACATATTTAATTGCGTTGGATGCGCTGATGATGCAAGATCATCAGAAAAGAAATATTAGAATTTTTGCATAAAATTACGCGGTTTAAAGGGAATCGACGAAAATTCATTTTGGAAAATCTATTTTCTTATTTCGGGAGTATTTAAAAATCAATTTTGAATTTTTTGAAAATAATTATTTATATAATTAAAGATGTGACACTTTAAGAAAATATAATGTTCAATTTCAAATTCAAAAAAGAAGGAAAAAAGACATCTTCTCAAATAGCACATATATCAAAATAATATTTAATACCTTTTTTTATTATTTTGATATATTACAACGCGATTAAAATAAAATTTATCTACAGAAATGTATTAACAAGAATAAGAATACGAGATAAAAGCTGAAATCATTTGATAAATCAATACATCAATTTTGTTTTGATATTTACGTCAAAATCTTTTAATCCGTGTAGTTTTAAGAATGCAATATATTAAAGACGGAAGTGAATAACAGTATATCATGCTCAACGTTTTAGACGAATAATTAATTATAATATGAGTTTTTTTGTACGCCTAATGCGTATAAAACTCGATCGTAATAATGACAAGCCAAAAATTTCCATTAATATGGAATTCTTTCACGACATTGTCGATCTTGCCGGTATTAACTTAGAAAACGCTCATCATCCCGCACATAGAAACCGTATGCGCAAATTTGTTTTCATCAAAGTCGATAAAATTGGTGCAATTAATTAGACAAAGCATTGACTCCCTAAAAGGTCACGATATACAAAATGCTTCCGAGTTACATTTGATACTGTGAACAGTTGTATACACAGTTTGTATAAAAATATTTATTGTGCCAACATTTTGTATTTACTTGATGTTGTAAGTCGGGTAAATACTTAAAAATACGAAAAAATAAAAAGAAAGTATCAAGTAGGAAATTTTAAATGATATATATTACAGAACATTTTGTTCTTCGCATAATCAAGTTCGTAAAGAAAAATATTGCTTCATAGATAAAAATATATTGGCGTCCAAAGGCTATATATGAATTGAATCAGAGTTATGAGGTAATGCTATGCTTAAAATTTAACACAAAAAAAAAAAAACAAATATAAAGCGTGTTTCGCTGCCATTCGTAATGGAAGATTTGCTTGGCCTTCGGTCAGCATTATAACCGAGGACCAACCTAGCTTATATTTTTTACCAATGTTTGAAATAGCATTTAATAGATACGATTATTGAAAATTGTAATCTTTCATTGTAGTTAGAATGTCCTGTCACACACATATAATAAATGGAATAAAATATTAATATACAGTCTGATTTTTTTCAATCATTCTATAACTTTTCAATATTAGTGTTTTATATGGAAAGGTTCTAAAAAATTTTTTCATTTTTATTACGTGGATAGTAGAATATTCGATAAATTAATCTATATTATTCATTTAAAATCGACAAAACTCATGGAATGTAAATGTTTAAATAATTCAATATGTATTTGAGACAATATTTTTAATTAACAACATACTCTTTACAGCAAGTGTCATTTTTTTAAGTAAGAGTATATATTTCTTTCTATGTTTATATTAATCTAGCACTTTTTAAAGCATTTAGTGGATTGGAACGGTTGGTGGATTCGGAACAGGCTCAAACTCGCCAACATTTTCCATATCAGCGTCTTTACGGTACATTTTCAACTCCCAATGCAATCGTGATTCCATTGTTGTTAATGTGATACCAAGATCTTCTAGAGTTGGCAATTCCTTTGATACCTTATCAGATATAGCTTCCTATAAAACATATCAAGTTTAATAATGCTATTATCTAAATCATATTTCACTACAGTTTGTTTATTTTATGCTTTAAAACATACTCTTTCCAAATATTCCCATTGTACATATCCAACTGGATTTGCAGGAGTCAAAAGTTCATTTAAAGTAAGTTGAAGTTTGAATAATGGAGCGTATTTCAAATCCATTCTCCCATAGCCTCTAATCTCTGCATTGTATATCCGTATTCGATGGAACCAATCAATTAATTCAGACAATTTATAACGGTTTGGCCTATCAAATCGAATATTCACATTACAATTAATCATCGAGCAAAAATAATCAGGATTTTATTAAATCATACAAATGTACAAATGTTTGTCCATACCCGACAAACTGATAAGTCTTGCCAATAGTGTTCTTAGGATTCCTTGCAATAGCTGCAATACCTCCTGCAACATCGTAGACAGCCACTGGCTGTTTTTCCGTCTTTTCGCCTTTTTCCCACAATGGTATTTTTCTGCAAATGAATGTTTATATATCATTAAAGATAATAACAGTGATAATTCTAAAATATCATGTTAGAAAATTTGTGTACAAAATTACTTAAAATGTCGTCTTAGTATATGAGAATATACTGTCAAATATCGATCCTCTTGACCCCATATGTCCGATGGCCGAATAATTGTAGCCTCGGGAAATTCTTCTCGTACCGCACACTCGCCTTGCCATTTTGTATGAAGGAATTGAGAGCCACCATTCAATACGTGTGACTTGATACAGAAATATCACTTGATTGAATTATATATTGTGATGAATTATATATTATTATTTAATATAATATAAAAATATAATATAATTTAATCTACCTCTATATCATCGCCCACATTTAAAGCCGATACGTGGATAAAGTGTTTAACATTAGCCTCCTTACATAATCTAGCGAGCCTTCGAGCTCCTTCAACATGCACCTCGTGAAAAGTAAAGTTTTTGGTTTCCCAATCTCGTCCAATTAAATTGATAACAACATTGGAATACTTAATACACTTTCTTATTGATTCCTCGTCACGCAAGTGAAATGGATGAAACAAAATTTGTCCCAGATCTCCACAGAGCTTTAGAGGCAAACAGTTGTATGTATCACCTCTATATGGGATTATTAACTGTAAATCAAGTTCAAAAGACTAATCAAAACATTATATACACTAATTATATTACGCCTCAGCTATATTTACTATATTATGACAAAACTTGTTACACAAGTTGTTATCCTCATCTTCCTTATTTTAATACTTCATACATGCCTGAGTACCAATCTTGCCAAGGCGATTGCAGACATAGCGTCCAACAAATCCAGTTGCACCAAACAGAGTGCAGACCAATCCATTAAAAGAACTACGGCCACCTGTGCCTCTTTTTAAAGAAGCGGTAGTGGGATTTTCAATAACTCGAGGTTGAGACGAATAATGATTCGTCTGCACCGCAACAGCCGCGATGCATGTTGTTTGCTTTCCTGAAACATACACACAAATATAAACTGTTCGTTACATAATTGCGAAATAGTGCCTATCATGCGGGATATGTAGATAAAAAAAATTGTGAATGATTTTATGTAAAGCCTTTGTCTAATTATCAGATTTAAGAAGAGAAGATGGATATTACAAAAGTATAAGTGATGTGATAATCTTACTCGCCGCTTGCAAAATATATTTTGGAATCAAGGCGGCCATCTTTTTTGGCCATCCATATGGACCGCACAGACGGTCTTTGACGTTTTGAAACGGAGGCGACTTCTGTCGGAATAGTTGAGAACTATGGATAATATTTAAAATCGTCACCAGAAGGCTCTATAAACAGTTTTTTGCGTTCCAAAACTCGGCAAAAAAGTTTTAATGATTGTATTGTATTGCGTTCTAAAACTCATAAAAGAAATACATTACAAATTTTCATTATTATTGCGTTCTGAAACTTGAAATAAAAGGAATCGTAGGCTTCCTGTTGCAATTTGCGTTTCAAAATTCATCGAAAAATGTTTTTTAATATTTATTTAGGTATTGTTGCTTTTAAAAGGCGCGAAATTTAAAAATCGGGTTTGAAATATATTCCGGCATTTTTTTTGGAGGTTATCGAAGAACGCATTTTCCAGAATTCTAATTATCTTTTGTCTATGTTCTTTTGATAATCTGAATAAAGCGTTCTACATGATATAGAGGCAGATTGCCATTTTGTGAGTAAGTGAAAGAATTATGTTTTTCGCAAATTCAGTAATGGTGCATATATGTATGCATTGTTGCAAGTAACGAGTGTATGATTGAAACAAATCCAAAGAATTTTCTGTTATTAATCTAAACAGTGTGCTTATAATTTGCATGTAATCTGCATAATTCAATATACATTACATACAAGAGTATATAGTTATAATTTTATTTTGACATGTATGTATAATTTGTTGTAATTATTCACAATTAAATATTTTTGAAATGTTAAATCGTTTATTTCAAATGATTATATTACTTGACAAATAAAATGTTTGCATTTCAATTGTTCTGTTGTAGTTAATCAAAGAACTACAACAATGGCTATAGCAGCTGTGTATAATTATATGAAACTGCAAAACAGACCTTACAGTGTGAATGATGTAGTTACTAATTTACACAACGAATATAATAAGACTGCAATTCAAAAGGCTATGGATCAATTGGTGATAGATGGGAAGCTATTTGAAAAAGTAAAATGAGATCCATAGCACATACAAGAGCAGAATCTTTAAGATTATTATTCTCACTTTGTTTTTAGGTTTATGGCAAACAAAAGATATATTGTGTTGTTCAAGATTCAGCATATGATACAGATGAATTAATGAGAATTGACAAAGAACTACAAAGTCATGCTAATGAAGTTGAAAGTAAATATCTGGATGTCATGAAAGAAATGAAAGAACAAGAGGCTCTTTTAAACTCCTTGAAATCTAGTTTGACATTGGAAGATGTACAAAAAGAAAAAGATGTTTTGCAACAAAATGTAAAACAGTTAACGCATAAATTGGATGACTTGATGGAAAGTAGTAGTACAGAGATAGAGAATTTGCAAGAATCTAAACGAAAAGCGCAAGAAAATCTAGATGAATACACACGCGAATATTTAAAAAGAAAAAAGATATGTGTTGAGATAATAGACTGTATTTTGGAAAGTTATCCTGGTAGTAAAGATGAATTGTATGAGGAAGTAGGCATAGATTCGACAACTGTATAATCAATGATAAAGAGTTGTTGGTTCTTTAAGTTCTTTAATTTTATATTATCTTTTATTATTTTATTTTCTTATATGATAAAATTAAATTAAAGTTATGTTAAAGAGATTAACATATCTTGGTTTATATATTAAATGGTTATTTAAATAACTAAAGCTTAAAATAATAAATTTATTTATAAAAATTATAAGTAAAAATAGTTTCTTGTGTTGAATTTGATATCATTACTTTAAGTTGCAAAGTAGCACATGCCACAATACTATTTAAAAATTTTCTTTTATAACGGATAAATCGTTTATTTCATATCTTTTTATGATAATTTTTGCATTCTTCATGATGTAGAGAAGTTTATAATATCTTGAATATTTTTATATATGCGAATCTTGCATATATAATTTGTATTTACATATATAAACTGCTATGTACAAAGAATCGAAAAATTTCAATTAGCATATAATATATTCTTAAAAGAATACAGAATATATCATTAATATAATATATAAAATACATCGTTTTGTTTCGTTTCTATTATACGATATCCCATTAAAGCAACAATGTAAAGTGCAGTTGACAGATATATTGGCGTGTGTCCTGTAACATAAGTTGTAAAATATTTATTTTCAAAATAAATAATTATTCACTATAAAATTTTATTTTTTGCTAGAAAATTATTTACATGTAAAGATTTAAATGTGATACAAGATTTTTTTCAATAAAAAAAAAAAACAAATTACTTTTACTTTTATTAGTTACAGTATATGATTTAAATAAGTTTTAGATGATATTTTAAATCTTTTTCTTAATGCAATTTCAATAAATTGATTTTACCTGAATGTTTATTTTCATCATGTGAAAAGCCTCTTTTTTATTCTTTCTTTTATTCTGTCTTTTATTTTGTCTTTTAATTTTCGAAGTATTGACAGCCAAGGAATCTTTTTGATTGATTGAAGGTTGAATTTCGGTAGATATTTTAATAATTCCTTCTCTTTTTCTTTTTCTTTGGGTAACAATCCTTCTAATACACATTTACCATTCAAACAAATCTAAAGAAGTATAATAAATATATTTTTTCATAATAAATATCAACTTATAATCTTATTTTGATAAATTATTTCTCAAGAAAATTGATGTTTAAAGTAAAACTGGCGACAGAACTCACCAAACCTTCCCCGCAAGAAGAGCCTTCCGCCGCTGGTGCGGTTGCTGTACAGTAACCTTCAATTTTAGGATATGCGCATTCCAAACGGGTACAAGCCGAAGCGTCTTTCTGTAAAAGAGATATACGCTGTAAACTTTCTCAAAATTTTTTAAAAATAGATTTAGTTTTATATATATAAATACTTACGTTACACGCCTTTGTTCCAAAGACCTTATAACACTGCTCGTCCAAGGACATCAATTGTCCAGGTAAAACACGCGATACTTCAGTATCCGACACCGGTTTGTTGTAAAGACATTTTGCTCTATCCTCACTAAAATAATTTGTGAAATAAATTAATTTCTGTTACTTAAAAATAATCAGTACATAAATCATCACGAGCGACATACGTACTTGATAAAGTTATAGAAGGCATTTATGCTGCACGAGGACCATTCGAAACCATTTTCGTGCAACATCAATCCATTAGTCATGATGAAGCCATCATAAGGTGGGCACTCTTTAGCACTCTTTGGATTGCCATCGTGACGTGCCCCTATTCTGTAAAAATATCCTTTTGTCACGAAACAAGTTTCCAAACAGCATTTGCACATTTTTCTTCGTGCGAATCGCATTGAATATCGAATTTATTTATTTATTATTATTGAATTTTTCTTCTTGTCAAGAATTCATGTGAATGCAATTCTTTCCTTTTATATTAACGAAAAAGATTATGAAATGATTATTAAAATATTCTGAATATTGACTTACAGATGGCCGATTTCGTGAGCCGTAGGGATGATACCAGAAAATCCGCCGTTATCTTCAACAATTCCCACGGCCTCGGATGATTGCTTCGTTGCGTTTCTGTCACATGCACCGGCCACGTACGCGTAACCTGCGGCCACAAATTTATATTTATTATTATTTTACACATTTTTTTATTTTACAGGACGGTACAGTTAATCATGCACGGAGAAAAACTTTCGCAGAAAAGCATTCGCATTCGAATTAGGGTAGTAGACTTACCCAAAGTCGATGTATCGCAATAATCGTCAATCATATTGCACATATCCAAACTGAAATGATATCGGATTGCATTATATTCTCATCATTTATGCACATCGTAACGTTTTGAATAATTTTAAAAATTAACGAGACAAAAATGTATCGACTACTTACTGCGTCAAAGCGATTGCCAAGTCGTAAGAATCTGTTGGGAATCTGTTTTCGCGATAAAAGTAATCTGCCATGCCACGAAGAGCGATATCCGCATCTACGGATGAAACGTCGACACGACCGTTTTCCAAATACGGGGTCGCATTTCTGTCCTGAAATACAATGAGTGTTTTAAAAAAGTGTTTTAATGAATCATTAAAATGTAATTCTGCCAGGAAATCCTTTTTAAAAAAGAAGGCACGACATATCGATACTCGTATCTCTAGAAATTTCCTCGAAGTTTATCGTTGACGCTTTCTCGCGATGCTGATTGATTCTCTCGCTGCGTTAATTTACAGCTGTCATTGTATTGATCTCACAGCAAGGATCGTTTTGACAATTGTATATCAAGAAGTTAAAAATATTATAGTAATATAATAGTAAAAATTAATATAATAGTATTATATTAATTTTTGCTCTTAAATAGCGCGCGCAGTTTGCGCGTGTTTGTAACGTCTAGTCTTTTTAAAAAAAAGGCATGTTAAATCGATACTCGCATCTCTCGAATAATAGGGCAGATCCCGAAGAGGACGTTGGATACAATGGCATTGGAGAAAATGGACAAATACGATAGAAAGTTTGCAGAGATGCAAAAGTACATTCCATTTGTGGAAGCGATAATTAAAAGACTGCAAAGCATTAAGGACAAGGAAATTCAGTCAATCAGGAAATTCAGTTGCAGAGAATGCAAAGTTTGCACAGAATTCTATTGAATAACAAATGAAAGATTGAGACGCTGCAGTGGTGTGAGAATATTTTGCAGAAACTGTACAATAGGATAGAAAAGTTTTAAAAAAATAAACCTGGTTTACAATTGTCAATTAAGCAAAATTATGATATTACGTCACAGCCTTCAACTTTGAAGAATGCGGATTGCAAAGAAGCAGAGTTATCGCAATCACAATCGCAAGACGGAAAAGAATAAGAAAATCGTGAACGATCTTTCATCAGAATTAGAGACATTAGAAATTGGGAGACTGACCGAGATTCTAATTGGATACAAAATTGTGGACATTAATGTGTAATAAAATTGTGTGTATTGTGTGTATTGAAATGTATTAAAATATTTATTTGTTGTGTATCTTCCGTTTCTGTTTCCCCTTCTTTCTTATGCTAGTGCAGATTGGTTACGTCTTTCTGTATCTAGCCAATCAAAAATTGACTCGTTTTGACCAGTCTCCTATTTGTGTCTCTAGTCAAGATGGATGAGATTATAATGCCTTGTGTCCACGATACTAGAAATCGGTCCGAGATCTCGGATGGAAAGAGCATTGATCAATTGCGTTTGAATAATTCGAATTAACCAATGCGATTGGTCAAGGCATAAGGAATAAAGCCAGCGGCACACGATGCTTTTTTCCTGCTGATTTGCTAGCTAGATTGCGTGCTCGTTGAGCTCTCTGATTGGTATATTCTTTTGGATCTAAAAAAATATACCAATCGAAGACAAGAATTCACAAGCACGCGAATCCAGCTAGCAAACCAGCAAGAAAAAAAAGCATCGTGTGCCGCTGGACTTAAGTGTACGGTCCACAATTAAGTATTTAATCTTTAAGTCGTAAGAAATTGACCAATCATAGTCGATTATTCTTTTCATATTCGATTATAATTCAATTCCTTATTTCTTAAAGCTTAAATCACCTATTGTGGACCGACACTTAGAGAGTTAGCTAGGGAAATGAAAGCTCGAATTAGCGTCATCGATTGTGCATGAATGAAGAGGAGCGCCTTCATGGCAACGCGCAAAAAAGAAGGCAGAACAGAACAGAATAGAACAATAAAGAAAGAGACGCACGAGTTGAACTGCGAAAAAATCAGTTTCTGTGTTGAATTGAATAACCACCTGCTCCTGGCGAATCCTTACAGAAGTATATTAAATTAAAACGTACCACGCCTATAATTATTCCTGCGATATTAAATCGAATTTTGGGTGTGGTAAGCAAGCGATACCTCAAGTCAACTCCGTTCCAAAACGAGACAATGTACTTTATGGCCTGCTCGAGATTTTTGCCGAGTAATCTGCGATAAATAAGAGAATAAGTTAATATATAATATATTATATTCCAAGTTACATGAATTACGATTGTTTGCAACTGTTATTTCACTTACTTATATATAGTGTAATCAATCACTATTAAACATTCTGGATAAATAATGTCCGGGCCATTGCGCTTTTCTTCCTGATTCTCGGGATCCTTGATCTCTGAAAAATTAGAATATTAATAGATTTATTGAAATTCGCAATAGTGCAAAAGGAAATATACATACAAAATTTTCAAATTACTTACTGAAGTCTTTTTGCTGATCCGACAAAGGCATCTTGTACACTACGTGATGATGCGTATAGGCGAAGTCGTCGTCCGTCACGTTTTTTGTATGATGCGGCTCGTAAAGGTTGTGTCCCCCATAAAGAACATGCTTCAAAATTCGTTGCGGCAGAGATTTAATGACGTATGAATTATTAAGCACACCATCCTGCGGAAACAAGATGCATCATGGATGTATGCGTATTAAAGAGAAAAGAATTATTATTCAATTAATTTCGACAGCTTGAAGGTATATTTCGAGATTGGAATTCTCACCAAATGTACTTGGCCATCAGAAGTAGGAGTTAGTAAAACTGCGCTCGAAGTGTGTACGTTTTGAAGCATAGTTCCTAATGATTTCATAGCCTACGAAAGGAGTGTAATTAATTTTTTCTACGTGCGTACTTATTGCGTACGTATAAAAGTATAATTTTAACGAGACACGAGAGACTACGGGATGTTTGTATTACGTGCACTCATTTTTTTGCCAATCGCCGATCGAACGTACCTTTGGTACTTGTTTGTACCGCAATCCTTCGGTTGCTTCCGAATCGGATGAAACAGTCCATACGGGTGTACTCTTACTGGCGAGAATACCTTCCGTGGGATACAAGTACATTTGAACGTCTTTGTTCAAGGCATTCAGCTTTATTTCGGATCCACTTTCTTCAGAATCATCTGTTTTCACCGTACGATGCAATACGGGCACCACTTCGTACTCGGGTACTAAAAATTAATATAAGTTTGCATTGTACAAGTTATTGTGCAATGCAAATGAATTGGCGCTGCTTTAATTATGCTACAATATTTAGAAAAAAATTTAAATAATTTAGTTCGAAAGAAAAATGATAGTATCTCGGCTATAACAGTAAAAAAAAAATTTTCTACAAGAAGAAGTTCTATCACTCACCGAGGTGATGCGGTTTGTGAAAAACGGACATCACTTCGTCCGACGTCATGTACTCGTGAAGCTAGAAATAAATCCTATAGTTTCTAATATTCTGATTTCACACTTCTTGTTTTTTTACGCAGATAAAACAATAATCATATTTTACATTTATAATTATTTCGAGCGTTACCTGCTTGCATCGTGAAAATGGTATTCCAGCCAGGCACAATAGAAATATCGCGAGGAACATTCTTGATGGATGCCTCGCGCGAAAAGCGGTCTTCTCTCGTAATTTCACCGAAATAAGATAAATCGGCCGGGGTTTGAATGATACGAATTAGTAAACCGCGTTCTCTCTTGTCTTGTCAGCACGGTATCTCAATATATATCGGGAATATCCACGAATATCCTATCCCCGATCTTTCGGCGAGAGAGCCCGTAGCTCGAATACGAGAAAGGACTATTTCGCGTCCCGGTATAAATTAGTCCGCCAATGTTTGATTTGTGCTCGCGATTATACAGCGAGACACTTGTACATATAATGTATAATTTGCGCGCGAGCACAGTAATGAAGAAAGAATTATACAAATTCATAATTCTTGTGTATGACAGACGATATGCGCGAAGACTCGTGAAGGCGATCGTGAAGTCCTGTCAAGAACGAAGTTATGATGTCCTTTTCTTTAATTTTACTCGCAGGACCTGGATTTGTTTTAATAAAAGTACAGTGAATAATGAATTTTATCTCTGTCCAAATTATAAAAAAAGAAACAAATGATTGAAATGAAATAAAATAAGACAACAGTTTAATAAATTGATCCGTCAAAGTATTTAAAGAATGAACAAATAGCACGATAAACGTTTCTATCTGTAAGAAGCTATGAATAATGTAATCGTGCAGTTGACATATAGTTCTTTTGAAGAAAGAGAGAGAAAAGATAAAAAAAGATGTAGTACAAATTACGCCGAGATGTCGTGACGTCGGAATCATTGATCCACGTTTGATTAATGTGCTTGTGCTCTGTGACGTGAGTTTGGATACATAAATAATTATTATTTTTTTACGAAGGACGTCTTCCCGAATTCCGACCTCGCTCGATGGGAGTCGAGCGATATTTTTACGTCTGCTTATTGTCAAACAAATCGTTTATCATTTACGAAACCCGAGATATGCGCCCCATATAATAAACAGGATATATTCCCTCTCGTATTACATTTAATTGCAGATCCATGCCAACTGCACATGCGGCAGTTGACAAGCCGAAATTGTCGAATAAAAAATGTACAGCACGTCGTTACATTTATATGGTTCGTACATCACACAAGACGATCATCAATCATCGATTGTCTATAGCATTGCAAATCTCACCGCTGATTTTACTCAAAAATTCTAATACTATTCGCTTTTCACCCACAGGAACCGTTTGAATACTACTAGTACTTTAACTTTGTTAATGAAATAAATATTCGTAATATTTTTGATTCATAATGGGTAATAACATATAAAGAAAGTAGGAAAAATGTTATAATTATTTATAAAATATTTTTCATGCCAGCTTGAATATAATTTATAAGATGTTGATAATTATAATTTAATATACATTAATATGTATCATTTGTAGCCAACAAATATTGTCTATTTTGTCTATATTGTAATTTTATATTCGATCGATTATATTTTTTTTTTTTTTTTTCCTTTTGATTAATCATTTTTTTCTCTAGACCAGCTCGTAATGTATATAAATATACAAAATAACATAAAAGTTCTCTTATTGAAATATTCCGGGCTTTCACATAGATTTCTAGATAATATAAATTGTGTAATTATATTTATATATTCTATAAAATATATAAGTACGGATATACGGATATGGATGGATACGAGGAACAGGAAAAACGTTTTAATCATTCCCATTTATTGGTTTGCGCTATACAATTTCCGTAACTTCTGAATGGCTTTATTCGCACGCGCGCG